TACTAACAGAAGCAAATTCAAAATTTTTCGTCGCAAACGTAACAAAAGCTTTAAAATTGTTAAAATTGCGAACCATTTCATAACTTTGGGCAAAATTTTACCAAATTTTTCCCAGTTTTACCTTCAACTTTAATCGGGCCAACGTTTGAACTATTGGGGGGTGTCACCCCCATACACACACGCCCTATAGCGACGTCCCTGGACGGTGCATCTGTCTTTCACTGTGTTTTTAACGATTTTCTTATTGAAAGTGTTTGCAAGCCCTCGTAATTCAATTTTCGAAATTTACAAGCTTGAGCCGAAAATTTGCTGTTTTGTGAGTTGGCAACGGGGGGGGGAGGTTTAATTTGCACAATTTCACGGTCAGTTGGTGAAGGCACGTTAAACATCTCTAGTAAAGCATAGATACAAAACAATGCAACAAGTTTACATATGCGTCAGGATTGTTTTACTGCATATCGTTTTCAGTAGTCTTTTATCGTTCATAGTTGAGAGTAGAATCTCAACATGACAACTGCTGTCAGGATTTCCCCATTTGGAATATTCTGTTTTGTTTGTGGTAGTTTCATAGTACTGTATGCTCTGAAGGATTTTATGTCCAGCCGATTATCACTATCAGAGCGGTATACGAGTAAGGAGATCCCGTTTAAAACACTGTTAGAGACGTCAATATATTTGGCAGAAAAAGGAGGCAACGTTCTCAAAGAAATTCGGGAAAAAAGTGATTTACAGGTTTGTAGTTGGACATAATATTAACAAATATAAAGTACATCTGTCCACGTTTATACACGTTAACACGTATTAAATATTGATTTGCCAGCCCGAGGTCAATGGTCAGGCTTAATTTATTTCAGTCTTCAGATGTTGATTTTGCACCTGCATGTGAAACGGGTCAATAAATCATAAATTGATACTAAAAAAAGTATCAATACTTGTTAAACGTATTGGTAATTTTGATCTTTTTGTATGTAAGGCTTTGTTTACATTCCGGTATCCAAAATATAGAATTTTATTCAAAAACTATTTATATTTTCATGATTCTATTTCTAGAGTATATTAAATGATCAAAACACAGTTAACAATACCTTAACAAACATACCTGAAAATGTTATTCCAGGACTGCAAATGTGCTTCCTGCTTGGAAGACCTAAAATAGGGGCATGTCGTTTGTCGTTATCACTGCCCCCATTAAGTTTGCCTCTAAATCTCTGTCCGTGAAAATCTTTATTGTTCACTTTGAAAGGAGATGCCCCCAAAATTAAAAAGAATTCACCCTTGTCATTTTAGGCTAGGAGTAAAGGTCAAACTTTAGAAGGTGCAAATGATCCACTCACAGCAGGTGACATGGAATCCCATAAGGCCATAGTACATGGATTTCACCATCTATTTCCATCAGTAACTGTGGTATCTGAAGAACATGACCACAGTGATACACAAAACCAACCTGTTGATATTGACATGTTGGACATTACGAAAATTGGTGATGATCTGCATAACAAGGAGGATGAACAGGTCTCAGCAGATGATATTTTAGTCTGGGTTGATCCACTGGATGCAACACAAGAATACACTGAAAATTTAATAAAATATGTTACAACAATGGTCTGCATTGTTGTCAAAGGTATGCCATATGGCACAATTTCTACTCTACCGCAATCTATCTTCACCGGCTAACATACACTTGGGGAAATCATGAAAAATGAGAGAAATAAATCTTGGGGCATTCTTAGAATTTGCACCAAGATCATTTACACCGAACTTCAATTTAAATAAATTTGTTGAATTATTTAGTTCTTACAGTCCTCTTTCTTGTACGTGGTAAATAATATCACATTACAAAATATTGTCACAACAACATAAAATCACATTACTCAGCATGTGATCGACATTGTGCCTTTAACCACACCCCATCTGGATGGCTATGTCTCTTGTTTAGTCATTAGGGAGTTCCATTATTAATTCCCTTTTTCTCAGCCCATAACAATCATTACCACGTTATTGAATATTGTTGTTTGCAGCTGAAAGTTGTATAGTCACCGCAACTGAAAGTGGTTTACTCTCATGTAAAACATTTGTAAAAAGAGTTTTAAAACTTTTGGGTAAAATGTTTGTCATGGGCATTTGACAAGTTTTAGTCTTATCCAGCAATCATTTTAGCCTGATGGGGCCAGTTGTTCAAAGCTGTATTAGCTCTAACCCTGGGTTAAATTTTAACCTGCTGTTTTGGCTGCGTATTTCTACACGTCTGTTTATTTCAAAACGTCCAGAAAATAAAACTTCCGTTGATCCAGTCAAGATTTCTAGAAAAGTATTTCCACGTTTATAAACAAGTTGTTGGGGAAATTTTATTAACCCAGGATTAAGCTAACTGGCTTTTGAACAACCGACCTATTGTGCTTTGGGACGTCGCTACCGGGGGGAGGTGTAACACCCCCCCCCCCAATAATTCAAACGTTGGTCAAAATAGAACTGTTATTTGCTTAAAATTTAAGGTCAAAGTCGGTAAATTGTGGTGAAAAATTGGCAAGCCTTGCTGCTTATTTTGGTCGAAATATGCTTATATACTTTTAAATATGCTTATATTAGTCCGGAAAACATTTTTACGACTTGGTCAAAATTTTATTAAATGTTGGTCAAAACATGACGACCCC